GCATGCGCAGACGTTTTTCACTCGTGTCACGCGCAGCGCATTAGCAGCGCACACCATCCCATGTGATTCCCACGCACAACGGTAACCACCTGATTGGTTAACGCGGTGCGTGCGCAAAGCATGAGTGGACAAAATAACCGGCCCTAAGCATTTTTTGGAGCTTGAAAGAACGAAGCAAACATGGCGGTAAAGTTTTTCTTCCTTTCCATATTTCTGCTTCTTGTAGGCGCGTGTATATATTTTAGTCAAAAGAAATCAGAAAAATACCCAAAAGTTGGGTTACAGTAGCCTGAGATTGAGCAAAACAGCTAAGCGCGCTGTGACTGGCTGAAACAAAATTCACCGCTCAGCTGGTATGCTCTCGCATCTTCCTCTCAAAACCCGCATCGAATTTTTACTGTGGTTGCCTAGTTGCGGCATACGAGTAAATGAAAAACTTTGCACGAGTGTTTGCGTGTTGAAAAAGATTGATGCTTGGAAATGTGCTGTCACTTTACAGTAACGTGCAGATATGACGTACTAAGTTTTAACTGTATGCGCGCGCATCTTGGAAGAATGGTTGCTTTAGAAACAGATTGTTTCTTTTCTGGCGGCATGGAGTTCAGCTTATTTCGCCCAATGCACGTTTATGAGGAGCAATTTTCTCCGCAATTTGTCTCCGGCAGGAATCATCAACATGGAAATCAAAGAAGGAAGTTTTTATTTTATTTTATTATTATTTTTAACAGCTTTATTAGCCTTAAAATTTCTCAATGAACAAAATATATAAATAACATAAATACTAAAGAAAGTAATAATAAAGAAGGACCAAGAGGGTGGGCGTGATTGATGAGTCTTGTCTATAGTTGCGTTTCGCTGGAAAAAAAAAACATCCGATCCGTGCTAATGGTTTCTCGACTTGCTAGTATAAGATTTTTGCCCGGAGCTTGCCCGTACCGCTCGGAACGAGTTACATGATTGGATTAAAAAGCAATAGATTGGTCACCCAAACAATAGCATTAAACCTAATCTTACAAAAGCGGTACTATACTTAGGGAGCAATGAAAATCCAGCTTTCAAGCAGTACTGGATTACTCTTTGCCCGCCATGACTACTAAACTGTAACAACTCTAGCTGATCTGAAATAGTGACGTCGAAATGACGTTGCCGCAAAACTAGGGTGTCATGAAGGCCGTGAAAATTGACCCAAAAAAAACCTGGCCACGATTGCGCAATAAAAATGTAACTCTTTAGTCATTGTGTTACTATTATCAACCTCTTATTAGCAATTACTTTTTTCAATTCAATTGTTCCCCTCCCACGACCATGATTCTTAGCGTTAAAGCAAAAGATTGTTATGTGACGTCATAATGAAATAGGGAAAATTAAGAAATTGGTGGTTAGACGAATAAAAAATCTTAAAGAAATATACGAATGAAGGACTTACTGCAGTAATTGAACTAAGAAAATATAAAAAGTAAAAAAATAAAATAAAAAATAAAAAATAGAAAACGCGTGCGCGTGCCGTGTGTAGTTATAAAGCACGCGGGGATTGGCAGAACATACTGAGAAGCGCTAGGAGAATCACTACGCGTTGCAACAAAAGCTTGTAATGCGTGACAAGTTGGATAGATAGGGTGTAAAACCAGCAACATTGTTTTCGAACTTGCACCGCAACAATGTGGCGCGACAAGTTGGACGTTTTTGTGTCTCGTATTTCAGCGCCTTTAATTATAGCTATTATCCAATAAAGTCGTAAAAAATGTTGCGCGATGATGATGGTGGTGGTGGTTTAACTTTTATTGTCTATGGTGTCTATGGATTTAGCTTTAAAAACTAATTGAGGTGACACCAACTAAAACTAAATAAAACGAAATAATATGTACACTAAAAAATAAAAAAATACCTATGGTCTGATAACGACGATGATGATGAAGGAGGATTGATGATAATGATTCAGGATGATACTGATGACGAAGATGAAAATGATGCTGTCCTCTACTTGTTTCTACTTGATCCATTTATAAGCATGGGCTCCCTGTGGTAACATTTGCCACAGGGATCCCAAGCATATTTTCAACTCTTTAATTAATTTAGCTGCAATTAATTTTAGAATTTTAAAAAGGTAGCCTCTTCATTGAAGTATGCATATTAATAAGTAAATATTGTTTATTAAAAAGGCAGCAAATAATAAAAAAAAACGAAAATGAGCTCGAATGTGAAGGTCTGAAATAGAGGCTCATGATTGGTGCAGCCAGAGTGACGTAATGGCGCAGATCTTCCCGCCATTTTGATTTTTGCTTCAGCCATCACATCGTTTCTTCATGTGGAAGACAAGAAAATGGCGGCAGCAAAAATATCTCTCGACAAAGAGGCTTTCTTTAGGCGAATAAAGAAAGTATACTCGTCTTGGAAGGTAACTATGAAGTTTAAACTAGACTTTTTGATGTTTTGAAGCTTATTTTGAGAAGGTATATGTCGAGTTTGACGTTCAAATCCTAACACATGCGATCGTTTATTTCCAAGAACGAGAACGTTAAACAAGAAAATGGCTCCAACTTCCCCAACATTGGCTCAATTATCATCGCTGTAGGTCAAGATGAAGACGTTATATACAGTAAATCTACTGCTATTCAGGTAAGAGGCTCAAAAACACGAGAAAACCAGAAGAAAATTGTGATTTGTACATCGTCTTTGCTCGCCACAAACGTCGGGTTGGAATCAATAGAATGTTAAAAATGTTAAGAATATTTTTTTAGTGTGCATTGTTAGAACTATTGAACCTGGACGTAGATGAAAAATAACGGTGGTCGTGTCTGATCTTCTTATAATACATGTTGTCCACAGTGTTCACAAGCACGTGACTCATTGGGCATGGCGAGGGGGTGAGGGGGGAGGTAAGGGGGGCTAAAGTGCACTGCATGGACCACTTTCAAAATATACCTTTTTACTGATGTGGCAGCCATATCTTGAATTCTGAATGCCAAGGGGGCAATTATAGGAAATTATAAAGCATAGAGTCGTTGGGTTAAGTTTTCAAATAATCCTTGGTGTTTCACATATTGTTCCAATACTCCATTTTACATTTCCATTCAGTGACCATGAATGGAGTTACCACACATGATAAGGAACTAGGAACTATTGTTTATGGTCAATGAATGGAACTGTAAAAAGTAGTATTTCCGGCAAATTCACTGGCTTGTTAGATGCTCCACTCACAGAAAAGAGTGAATTTATATGAGAAGACACCCTGACAGCTTTGCAGTCTATAAAGTATTTAATATTCGCTCCCTCAGCATCCCATGTCATGATTTAATGGCTGCAAAGATAACATGACTCGAAAGAGACACTCTGTTTGAGATTGAATTTGAGGTATTTTCCTATTAGCCTTCCATTGAATATAACTTCAAAAGGGTCCATTCCTTTGGGTATCCATATCTCTACGACAAGCTACAGATCCTAATCTTACAGACAACTCGCTATTGAGTATTTCATCAGTAAATATTTCATCAATGCCTACAATCAGTATTTCTCAGAAGGTACTTAGTTTTCAGAGAAAGTACAAAGAGAAAAAAATTCAAGATATCTATTTACCATGATTTTTTGAAAAGTTAATAGTTTACAAAAACATTAACAACAATCGTGTTTATTTAGTACCTGCTGTGCTATGTAATATTTACAAGTKAAAATAAATACAATGTATTAAAAACCTAAATAAAGGTACATGCTATCTATAATAACCACAAGGGCTAGCCGAGATAGATAGCTAAAATTGGGTCTATAAATATAACATAAAAGATCTGGACATATTTAAAAGTGGCAAAAGATATAAATATAGTTATCTACAGTATTTCTCTGATTCACGAAGTCGGTGTTACCATTTTCAACCAATCAAAACACTCCTAATATATTTCATCCATTTTACTGTGTTGTTCAGCAATGGCTGTTTGGCTATGAGTTGGCAGACACCATCACAGTCCTCTGCCCATCATCTATGCATTTTTTGGCAAGCAAGAAGAAAATAGATTTCTTAAAACCATTGAAAGAAGCTCAAAAGAAACATGAAGGAACTCCAGCCATACATCTGCACATGAGAGACAAAACAGACAACGACAAGGCTAATTTTGCAACCTTGGTAGAGGCTATAAAAACAGAAGGAGAGGTAACAAATTCTTTGTAATGTAACACCAAATAGACCTTTCCTGAATTTGCTTCACTGATCAGGAAACAATAGTTTTAAGTCAAGGTTGGACTCAAGAATCAAGTTCAGTAATCACTTCAAACCATTGTTTCTTGGTTATCCAAGCAAATTCAGGAAAACTTTTCAGTCAGCCAATAAGCACACATGTTGTATCTCAAATATTTATCCAGCTAATCAGAGCGCACATTACATTTCAAATATTTTCTAATACCTTATGTTCTTTTAATTTCATTTAATAATATTGTTATCACAGGGTAAAGCAGTTGGATTGTTTACTAAAGACAACTTTCAGGGTCAATTTATGGATGGATGGAAGGCTGCTTTTGATAAAGAGTCATTTGAAAAAGTGAGCATATATAGTAATGAGGGCATAATCTGTCTCATTTATACACATGATTTAGTATAGTAATGCAGGGCTTGAAATAGTAGCCAGTCAACTGTTGGTCATCACCCATCATTGTTACTGTACAAAATCACCAGCAAGACAAAGATTTGACCACACAAGTTCCAATTCTGGCCAGACATTGTCCAATGACCAGCTGTTATTTTATCATCGTTTGCATTGCTACATGGCCACCCCAGATAAAAATCGCGACGTGCACTTTGCAATAGACTGCTGTCAATCAAACACGTTGACGCCATTTACACACATGTGTGATTTAAAAGGCGCCAAAACTTGTCGATTGTTTACGAGTATTATGAGCCACACTCACCGGGCCGATGCAAATGCGTGTAAATGACGTCAAAGTGTTTGATTGACGGCAGTCTATTCTAAAGTGCACCTCGAGATTTCTTTTTGGGGTGGCCGCGTAGTAATGCAAACGACGGTAAGCCCTGCAATATTAATGGGAACATTTAGTATTGATGCCGTCAAACTCAACTTATATGGAGTATTCAAGTTGAAGGCAAGCATGGGTGGTATGTGCAGCTAATGTGCTGCCTCTCGCTTATGTGACCTAGGTTTGATTTTTGGAATAAGTGAGTTGCATGTAGGTTTAAAAAACGTCCTTGTTTTTACAAGGGTAGCCAGTGGCTAACAAACCTGTGGCCCTCGTTCCATGATCGGATCAGAATTTAGAAGTTCATTTTTGTGGAGGGAGGAAAACTGGAGAACATGGAGAAAAAGCCAAAGATTTGATCAAAAAAGTTCCAATTCTGGCCGTTTATTATAAATTGTGGCAAGTTTATTATAAATTGTATTCATAGGTTTACAAATGCTAACCGACCTGCAAATAGTAAGACTAATCTTAAACCCTGTAGAGCGGATGCAATTAAACTGTGAAATAAAATCAAACTAAATACTAACTAATAGTATCTATTTAGTGACTAATAGTTGCTATCACTCAACAAGAACATTCATCATACAAAGACAAATACACAAGAGACCATTTGTGTCTTTTGTTTGATAAATGTTCTGGTTGAGTGCTAGCAGCTATTAGTCACTAAATAGATACTATTAGTTAGTATTTAGTTTGATTTTATTTCACAGTTTAATTGCATCCGCTCTAGTAGTGTCTATAAACTTTTGTTCGTTTTTTTAAAGATGGTATTATTTTGTCCTCAGATTGATGTTAGTAATGCCATAGCATATGTCATGGCTGTAAGAGAAGACACAGAGTTAGTAAATGTTAAGGTACAAATATTACTCAACTGATTTTGTCTAGTGTAGTTTTGCTGTTACATCTACAGGGTTCCCACAGTCAGGAAAAAGTCAGTGAATTCTGAATTTTTTCAAGGTAGGGGAATTGTCAGGGAATTTTGTTTTTGGTCAGAGAAATTTACAATTTATTAAAAAGCCAGGGAATTTTTGTCATCATTCTCAAATTGGTTTTATTGATAATTATGTAATTTCACTCCAAAACGAGACTTCCCAAAGGTTCCTGACATTATCAATATATATGGTACAGTATCTTTATTTATTTTGATTTCCTTTGGTAAAACATGGCCATCTGTTTCATTTATTTTGCAATTCAAAACGTATAGATTTATATTCATTTTACATTAAAACGACTAAAGAGGAATTTGCCTCTTGAGCATTGTAAAATATTGATCTTGGTCAGGCAAAAATTTAAGGGAATTTTCCTTTTTAGATGAATGGGAACCCTGATCTAATTCACGTCACATGTGACCATCATCTCTCATGTTTTGATTGTTATTATCTGAAGGATGTTGAATTTTGTCTTTCTAGAAAGCATCACAAGTCTCATCTGACATATTCGGCAAGTTCTTCAAGAATCAAATAATGGAAATTGTAGATGAAGAAAAGGTAATAAGATTCAAGGGATTGGTTACTAGTTCAAGAAAATATTCATACCTTTCTCCTTTTTCACTGTGTTGCCATACTATTAAAGGAAATGTTTTCGTTTTATCAGAAAAAAAGAGTTTACATTAAGAATATTGATTACTGTCAATATACATATTTTCTTTGTAAAATTTAATGTTAAAAAAAATCATATCTTCAATAGTTTATATTAGTAAAGCGTCACAGTTTTATTTATGTCTGTAAGACAACTTTGAATAGACCGTTTTCTCAATGTTGTGTGCGCATACAACTTGACGGGCCACAAATTTGAAAAGTCAGTTGTATATTGAAAGAGGAGAATAATCCATTTTATGAATTCTTATTGAAAAAAATTCAAAGCAATGCATGATAATGCTTGTGTTCTGGTATCATAGCCTGTCAAGTTCCTGAAATTTGGATGCACATGCAACCTTGAAAACGGTCTTTACCAAGACCTTTTTCAAATCATCCAAAATTCTCTAGAATATGACTTCACATGGAAATCCTCAATAAGGCTGATATAGCCCTCCAAAGTATTGATTTTCCCAAAGTGAATATAAAATGATGTGCCTTTTTTTTTTTTGTTTAGCGAGTAAAGAATTCTAAGGTTGCAGACAGTATTGAGAGTGCCTTGGAATCCAAAAAGTATCTACAGCCTGGTATGGATTCAGATCAGGTAATAAAATATAATAATATACATATACAATGCATTTCTAATATTATTCCAGGGATCCCATGGGAGTTAAAATGATAGCTGGTCATTGGAAAAAGTTGGGCCAGAATTGGAACTTGTCTGGTCAAATTTGCCTTGCTGGTCATTTTGTCCAGTAAGGTTGAGTCAAAAAATAATGAGGTATGACAGAGTTACAGTGCAACTACTATAACCTGGGCCAGTTAGACAGCGAGAAACAATCAAGTTGTAGAACGAAAACAATTAATTTGAACTTTGAGTAGTGGAGCCAATCAGAAAGCAGCAGAAAACAGTAGCTTTTCAAAATATCTTTTTATTCTGATGAAAAAATGACGATTGCTATCTAGTTGTTTACATGTAACATCAGGGTTGAATTACCATTTTCGTGCAGCCTAGGCTTTTGATTGGCTTACATTTGTCTGCTGATGTACTATTTAGCCTTTTTTTTGTTGTCATTTTTGTGTACAGGTTGAAATGTGTTACTCTCCCATTGTTCAGAGTGGCGGGAAATTTACCCTTAAATTCAGTACCATCAGGTATAGTAAAGGCCGGTTAAGATGGTACGATTTTCGCCTACAACTATTGTATACAACACGCTTGCGCCATCCTACAACTCGAGTCGTAGTGTGCAAATCAAGCCTACAACTCACCTACGACAGATGCGAGCTTGTTGTATACGATAGTTGTAGGCGAAAATCATACCGTCTAAACTGGCCTTAATAGTGCTTCAAGGTATTATTTACCTTGTAGATGGATTGGGCAGTGGGGTCAGAATAGAATACTTTGATAATATGGCAGCTATCTTCGATCGCAAGGCATTGTGGGGTGTCATATTTATCGCTAATGTGAAGCTTGGTGATATATTTTTCTTTGTATTCATTGCCTGTCTTTATTAAAGCAAAAAACAACACATGGTTCACCTTTACCCATGAAAGAAGGACAAACACCTAAAAATCTATAAATTATCCTGCCATCTTTGTTTTGTTGTTGCTCGTCACAGGCAAAACGTACAAAAGTTTGGGCCCTAACGGTGGATAGCACTATCCAATGGATAATCTTATTCAGTGAATAAATTTATTAGATAGCAGTATCGATTTATCCACTGGATAAGGATTTATCCTTCGAATAGCACTATCCACCCTTTGTACAACCAGGCCCAGGTCATTGCAGGGCTCAAAATAGTGACAGGACAAATTTCAGGTTTGCCCGGTGAAAATAACGATGCACTGCCAAATGAATAATAAAATGGCATGCAAAATGTACTGGAATGACCCCCTTTTACCATGCTATTAAAGAAAAATTCTATTTTGAGCCCTGCATTGCCGGTCACACTTTTGCATGTCCTGCTGTAACATATCCATAAGCAGTGGCAAACCAGAGGACATTCCGTGCGAGTAGTTCATGAACTACTTTCTAAATCAAAACAAAACCAAACTACTTGGAGTATACTTTTAAAAACATCAAACTTATTCCTTCTTCTCACAGTAATGATGAAAAACTCAACTATGGAGTGATAATCTGTTCTCTTGGTGTGCGATACAAATTTTACTGCTCAAACATCGTTAGAACCATGATGGTTGAACCAACTGAGGTTTGTAAAGATCATCACAGTTTATTGACAACTCTTAAACAGGGTTCGTGCTACTCCTTGAAATCCTTGAAAAGCTCTGGAATTGAAAACACATTTTAAGAGCACTTGAAAAGCCCTTGAAAATAGCACAGTTGCTGGATTTTGATTGTAATGTTCTTGTAGCTCCAATAACAGCAAGGCATTGGTAACTCATGTGCTGAGAGGTAACTCATGTACCCCATGACTGGAGTTTTAAAAGTTGTCAATTATTGCGAGTGATAATTTAATTTTTGACCACTTTGCTCCCACCCCCTCTCCACTCACCCATGATTTCCTCTTCACACATTAATTATTACCCATATGAATTTTTTGAAAGGTGCTTCTTGATCAGGACCTCTCCATTTCCTAGGTTTTTGAAACACCTTAGATCCACCTTAGATCCAATGTAGATCCATTGCCCTCAGTCTACCATGACTTATTTTGGTTCGGTCCTCATGTGTAGAGTGGAGATTTTGAATTTAATTACAGGTTTGAACTTTTACCACTGACCCTGCTATGAACTCTTTATTTACTTTGACATCAACAACTCTCTCTCTATCTATCTTCTTCATGCCTAAATGGCACATAGGGCCTTCACAGAGCTCTTCCACCTTTCCCTGTCAGCCAGCACAGTCTGCACCTGGCCCCATAAACTCCAGCCTTACCTCTCTCCTTCTTGCTCCACAGTTCATTTAGTTTACAATTACTTCAATAATAAAGCTATTGGTTAATGATTTTGAAGACAAATTTTTCTAAATTTAAAACAAACAGGAACAACAAGAAATGTACAATTTCCTACTGGCAGTGCTTGACGTGATTATAGATAAACTTCGAGATGGTAAGACAAATATACCTGTTTTTGTCATATTTTGATTATGTTTCTTATAACAAGGACTGATATTTGTCCCCATAAATGCCTCATTATATGAGAACTTCCATTGTTCCATCACAAAGATTGCATTACACACAGCACATTACGTACCAGATTAGCTGTGCACACCAACAAGGATTAAGGAGGCTGTAAGCTTTTTTCTACTTCCACATACACTCACGACAATGATCTTGAAAAAACTTTACCGTATATGGCCTTAATATGACAAGTAAACTTGAAAAGGCAAAAAGACCACAAACAACACATCACAATAAACATGAGGAAAATGGYGTAATATGTTGCTATGACAACCAGAACTCAGTAAATTGAATTTGAAATACTGTAACAATGCATGATTGTTATGCAATTATACAATTATTGCCCCTAGAGAGTGCACATTAAAGGAAAACTGTGTTAAGCCTCCTTAAAAGTAGTTTTTAAGTCTTAAAAACAAACTATTTAACTCTATGAGCTTTTTCAAAGCATGGGACAATCACAACAGAACCAGGCTCAAACCACATAAAAGTCCAAGATCAAATTTGAATTTAGAAGTTGACTTTTGAGAGGGAGGAAAATGAGAGAACCTATAGAAAAATCATYGTAGCGCAAGAGAGRACCATCAAACAACTCTACTCACATGACACCAAGCCCGGGAATCGAACCCAGGTCACATTCGTGAGAGTATGCACATTATCAGTGCACACTACCTGAGCTTCCTGTGAAAAAAATAAAAGACATGAACAAAATATGACTCAAGGAAATTAATGGTACCTGAGCTGGTTCAAATTACAGATGATTAACATGTTCAACGTGTTCTTTTAAAGGTACTAAGTTATGTGATGTTTACAATGCTGCAATGGAACATGTTACGAAGAATAAACCTGAACTGCAAAACAACTTTGTCAAGAATATAGGGTACGTTGTGTTAAAGATAAGCACAATSGTAAACAAAAGCAACAAACAATAACTTGTTAAGTGAGCGACTCTTAGCAGTCTCAGCTAAGCACTGTTAGACTTGTGCAGGGGCGCAGCCAGGATGTTCCAGGGGGGGGGGTGGGATTCAAAAATCTGAATCAGGGGAGGGGGCGAATAAAAAACAAAACACAACAAAAATAAACTGCCGCCATTTTGTTGCCACAAGGGGGGAGGGGAGGGGGAGATAAAATTACCACAAATATTCTAAGAAAGCAGCCATTTTTTTGTCATGAAGGGAGGGGGGGCGTGATCCCCTCGCTCCCTGCCAACACCCTTGTTGTGGTCAATGGAAGTAAGTCAGGTCTTGAGAGTTATTGTCGTAAAAAAAGACTTATTTTATATGTAACTTGTGTTTGTTTGTAGGTTTGCAATGGGAATAGAGTTTAGAGAAGGATCACTACTGATATCACCCAAAAACACACACATCGCCAAAAAAGGTAGAGTAATACCTAAATGGATCAAATCCATTTGGGTGTAATGTTTACCCATTTCAGACCATGTGTCACTCTTGAGAATAATATTTTTTGTTTGAGTTGTATTCATATTGATGAGTCTTCTCATGCTCAACTGTTAAACAAATAATAATAGTCAAATAATACTCTAGGGAATAACACGAGGATTGAACCCTTGCAAACTCGCAAAATCTGGGTGAAATTTTATATTTAGTGAGTGACAAAATATTTAAGTTTTGCGAGTATGACCACCAGAAATTGAAGGACTGAAAAATTTAGAACCTGCATTGAGTAATGTCTTATTATTCACTGTGTTCGATCGCTAGTGACTTTGAAATTTTTGCTAATGAGAACAAAACTTACTAGCAAGGTTTACAAGAGCGTTTAAAAGTTAATTTTGTGCCCTGAAGGTGTAGACAAATGAATTAGAACAAAACTTACTAGCAAGGTTTTGCAAGTGGGTTTAACAGTAAATTTTGTGCCCTGAAGGTGTAGACAAATGAAAAAAAAAAAAAAAAATTTACTAGCAAGGTTGTACAAGAGCGTTTAAAAGTTAATTTTGTGCCCTGAAGGTGAAGACAAATGAATTAGAACAAAACTTTCTAGCAAGGTTTTGCTTGTGGTTTTGAAAGTTAATTTTGTGCCCTGAAGATCTACTCAAAATAATCAACCAAGATAACTTTGCATGTTATTTTATAGGCATGGTGTTCAATATTAATGCTGGGTTCTCTGGACTGGTTAACAAGAAAGCTGATAATGATGTGAATAAGAACTATGCCTTGTTTATTGGTGATACTGTTCTAGTTAATGAGGTAAGCTAAATTCCATTTATTCTTGTAATATCAGAATGTAGAAAAAAATATTGCTGTAACCTTTTGCGCTTGACCTTTAGACCTGTTTAGACCTATTTAATTTTTTACACGCACAACCATCGTACAARACTTTAAATGACTTGATGGTGAGAGTGCACACCTCTCATCAATGCGATCTGGGTTCGAGTTCCATTGGGCTTGGTGTCCTATGTGAGTAGAGTTGCTTGTTAGTTCTTTCCGGTGCTTCGAGGGTTTTTTCTCAGGGTTCTCTGGTTTTTCTCCCTCCACAAAATCAACTTCTAAATATCTATTGGAACTACAGTGGATGAAGAGCCACTCTGTTGAAATGCCACAGCTAAACTCTATTTATTTATTTATATTTGTATTATAATTTGAATTATAAATCATAAATATAACATCATATTACTCAAGGTAACAAAATACGAACATGAAAAGAAAAATGGATGTGTGACCCTTCAATATGATTGGGATAACTGTAGGCCAACCTTTTATCAATGTTGAATGAATAAACCTCTTTACCTTGGGTGTAATGTTTTCCTATTTCAGACCATGTGTCATTCCCTAGAGTATCATTTCTTTGTTTAGCTAGGGTGTAATGTTTTCTCATTTCAGACCACGTGTCATTCCCTAGAGTATCACTTCTTTGTTTAGCTATGGTGTAATGTTTTCTTATTTCAGACCACGTGTCATTCCCTAGAGTATCATTTCTTTGTTTAGCTTGGGTGTAATGTTTCCTCATTTCAGACCACGTGTCATTCCCTAGAGT